CTGGTTTATGATCTTTGGCATTCTGAAATGTATAATGATCTATTTGGGGATTCTGAAATGGTTGATGATTCATTGAAACATCGCTAACTTTGAATGATTGTTGAACACTCCAAATCAACTGTGAATTTTTAATTTTTTTTTTCTTGTATGAATGATCTGGTTCATGATCTCCTGGATTCTGAATTGGATAATGATCTATTTGGGGTTTCTGAAATGGTTGATGATTCACTGAAATGTCGCCAACTTTGAATGATTATTGAACACTCCAAATCAATTTTGAATTTCGGCTGCTTTTTTGTATGACTCAACTGGTTGCTTCTATTGAATTGTTTAGATCGGTTGGTTTAGAATCAACCTATGAACTTGTTTTGTGTGATTTTCGTTTGGAAGTTTTAACCTTTAAATCTATTGTAAGATGATGGATTTCAGTACAATATTATTTAATTAAAATTTTGAATTATGTGTTTTTTTTTATCACTATAGATATACGATTATATATATATATATGTACATAGATACCAAAAAAAACTAAAAAATTGCATTTCTAAACATAATTAAAATATGTATTTATTTTACCCACGGAAGTCTGTGGGTAAAAACATTTTACTAGATAAATAAAAAGAAATTTCCCCACGGACTGATTCTGAGAAAAAGTATCCACAGACAAAATATAATTTTTTCCCCATGACCAGTCGTGGATTAAAATATTTGCTACAATTATTAATTATTTTACCACAGAAGGTCTTGGGTAATTCTTCACAAACTATAGCGTTCTAGAGAGTATTCTTCCATGCATTCCATATGAAAAATATTGTGGATAATTACCCACGAAATCAGTTAGCGTGGGAAAAATTGTTACCCACATAATTGACTTTCTGTGGAATATCGATTTGCCACGGTTGTTTCTCCCACGGGTAGATTCTCGTAGGAGAATCTGTGGGTAACTTGATTATCCACGACACTGCAAGCATTTTACCTATGACTCTCTGTCATGGGTGCAGTCGGGTTTTTTTTTGTAGTGCTTGTTTGTGATGCAGTCAAACCTACTTTTTGGTTTTGGTTTGATATCTTTGCACTTCTCCTTGTTGGAAATGAGTTCAAAAATTGGAACGAGAATTTGATTTCTCAAATTAGAAAGTGAGAGTTAAGCTAAGGAATTTTATCCCACATTGAAGTTGGGAGGACTTGGCATCCGTAATTTAGAGCAGATACATAAGAAATTAACCAGAGAGAATTCAAAAATGTACTTCTGAATCATTGAAAAACATGTCGTCGTTACATATGATTCACAGGCATGAAGTTTCACAAGTTTTATTCATGGAGGTACCTCAAAATATACGAGAGGAACTTCAAAACATCACATACACCCTAGCCAATAGAAATCTCAAATTAAAGCGACGATGCCACATTTTTTATATACTACGATGCAGGAGAAATTGAATTTCCATAGATTTGTAACATACAGCTTGGAGGTAAAGATGAGGAGGACGGAACAGAAAATACTAATTTGGCGGGAAAGATGAAAAGACTCATGAAATAATAATTAAAAAAACTTAAATTGACATTTACTAATTATTGTGTAAAGATTGATAATGATTAATAGGTAAATAAATTACTAAAATTATTCTCCATCATAAGTATACTACCAAACTTTACCAAAGGAGAGAGGCAACTTACATCTAAGACCACACACTTAGCCTCCATTTGGTTGAAGGAATTGAAGCCTGGAACTAGAATTAGAAGGTCTCAATCTTAATTCCTCCGTTTATTTGATCAAAATGGAGAGTGCAGAATTTTTTTTTTTAAACGGTGAGAGTGCAGAATTAGATTTTCAACATTATTAAGGTCAATTATGTATTTTCAATTATTCGGTGGGCACTAATAATTACAATTAGATGCTTGCCCCGGGCGAATGTCTGGGGTGCCGCATGTATTTTTAAATCGATTAAATAAAAAATACAAATCATTCTTAAAAGAATAAAAAAATAGAAGAATAAAAAAATGATTGAAAGGACAGAAAGTGAGTTATTATACATAAATCTATGTCCAGATTTATAACATTTAATTTACAACAGTTAACTTATGTCCGGGTTTACATAAATCATAAACCAATATCTACAACAGAAAAAAAAAATCATCCTTAAAAAATCAAATTTCTTTCATGACAGCTTATTTTGTCTCTGTTGTAGAAAGAGATAGATTGATAATTGATGTCAGATTTCAAGTAATTGATTTAAAGGCCCGGGTGTGAGAAGGGAGCGGAATGGAAGAGATTCTTTGAAATTGAGGATTGGGAAGACATTATTGTGTACTTGATTTAAGGGGATTTCCTTACATTTGATTTTATTAATTAAATATTGTTGTTTTAAAAGATTAGTATATACCTATAATTAAGAGATTTTTATGTAACTATAATTAAGGAATTTATGTATTTATCTATTCCATTTTTTTTTCTGATTTTTTTAATTAAATATTGTTGTTTTAAAAGATTAGTATATACCTATAATTAAGAGATTTTTATGTAACTATAATTAAGGAATTTATGTATTTATCTATTCCATTTTTTTTTCTGATTAGTTAGAGTGTCACTTGTCAAAAATGATTTTGTACTGAAAATGACTTTTAGCAGGAAAATTTTCATTGTAGTGCTGACACATGTCCTTTTTGTTTGTTGCTTTAATTAAGTACTATAGATTCTATTATTAGAGAATTTTTAAAAAGTCCGCGTTTCAATTTCGGATATAAGAAAGTTTGGTTGCCAAAGAGTTGATTTTTCCTTTATTTTTCTATAAACATCATATCTTCTACCAATTAAAAATAAGAGATACGTCCCTGGTCCTAATTATTACTAGTGATGTCTGGTCGCGCAATGCGCGACCCTGGCCCAGTCTATCTGTAGATCTTAGAAATGTTTATATTTGAAAAAAATAAAATTTTGTATTTGGAGCGATATATTTTAGAAATGTTTGAAGGATTTAGAAATGTTTTATAAGTGTGATCATAGAAATATTTGTATTTCGCAAAAAAAAAAAGATTGTATTTCGCCATGTATGTTTTGGAAATGTTTTATAAGGTGTTACTTATTAAATATAAATAGCTTAATCGAATATATGTGTTGAAGTAAATGTTAGATAAAATATAAAAGCATCCTAATAAATTTAAATATTAGTAAGATGATTTATTGATGTTCTCCATTAGTCGTGCCAAATCAATACTTAGTTTTGGAGATTTTTAATAGTTTTATAATAAGTTTCATCCAAAGGGTATACGCTTAAAACAAAATTGACACTTTGTAACAAAAAACCTAATTGATCAATTCAATTTAAAAAACCACTCTAGTTGAATGAAAGATAAAGAAAAAATTTAAAAAAAAAAACGTGTCACGTAAAGTGCAAAGGTAGATTTAGTAATTTTGTTATGGTTAGACAAAAGAGCAATTTAGTATTTTCTACATGCCACGTGGCAATCATATAAGGTGTTTGAAAGGGAGGTTTTTGTTTCTAATATAGTAGGATATGACACAACAAATTAATACTAAAATTAGTTCAAATTTGATAATATCTCTCAATGAAAACCAATATTACATACTTTCTGCATAATATTTATCGAAATAAACCCATACCAAAAAAATAATAATAAATAAAAAACTAAGTAGTCAGGACTTTATCATTTTCACTATGTTGTGTGTGTGTGTTTTTTTTTGAGAAAATAAACTTTCATTAAAGGTTACTGGAAGTCTGGAACGGTCCAGCACCGAATGAGAAATGAAGTTAAGACGGCTATTTCATAACGTTTCGATTCAGTTATGGTCCAGCACCAAATAAACTTTCATTAAGTTTTTGGTTTAGTATTACCACTAGTAGTTTGCATTTGCATAAATTATTCCAACGGTCAAATTACATGCAGCAGTTTCAGTGCCAAGCAATTCCGAGCCTTCAATGAAATCAATTGGCAGAGACGGCGTTGATCGGCGGTGGTAGTGGCAGTAAGGTTGGTTTTCAGTGGCGGGAGGCATACTCCAAAATTTTCCATTTCTTTTTCTTTTTATTTTATTTTATACTACTATATAGTTTCATGGCCCCTCTATTCTCGCGCAACTTTTTGCAGAAATTCTCCTGATTTCTCTGATGGACATTTATTACACTTTACCGCCAATTCAGCTCCTCCATTCTTGCCTAATTCACTACTGCAGAGTTCCCCTCTCTTCCCCGATTAGCTTCCCGACAACCCCATCCTTCCCACTCTGGGAGATTTTCTTTCTTCCACTTTTCTTTTCTTTTCTTTTCTTTTCTTCTTTTTTCCCGTTTTTCTCTCGTTTGGGATTGATTTGGGTTGCCTTAAAACTTTTTCGTTGACTCATAAAAATTTGGACAGGTGAGTTTACTTACATGGGTTTTTTTTTTTCTTTTTGTTTATGCATTTTACAAGTTTTTTTTTTTTTCTCTTGAGTTGAAATGATCTGCAAAGGATAAAATTCTGCAACAATTTGATCCCATTAGATTACTGTCATTGGCAGTTACATTGACGCTGCACATTTCTGAAGCTGAAATCAATATTGAATAGAGGGAAAATTATTCTGCCTTGTAAATTGCACAACCAATTCTAAGGTACACAATTTACAATCTTACAAAGTTTTTTTTTTTTTTTTTCCAAAGTGGGAATTCCAGATTCAAGCTTTACTTGATGTACACTGCTTAATGTTGCCAATTTTTGGAACCTGGATTGGTTAGCATTGTCTTGATTTATAGTTCAAAGAATTTTTTATATCTTTTTTTTTTATTTTTTTATTTTTGGGTCAGATAAAAGGGTTGAGGAGGTTCTTTTTAAAGTTTGCTGTCATCGAAAGCCGGTTTACCAGGACAGATACAAGTTCCTCCTTTTAATATAAAGGGAGGAACCCTGTAGCTATCATTGGTATTCTGTACTAGGAATCTGTGGATTCTCTTCATTGCATTTGGTCTTGTGTCAGCTTTGGACTTATATAAAGTTCTGTATGAGGGATGGGAGTAGTTGGTAACAATGTTGATGATTCAACTCGTGGTAATAGCCTAAGGTCAAATGCACATGAAGAGAAGATCTTTGTTTCAATCAGATTGAGGCCTTTGAATGAGAGAGAAATCGCAAACAATGATGCCTCCGATTGGGATTGCATCAACAACACGACCCTTGTGTTCAGAAATAGCGCCTCAGAGCGTTCAACTTCGCCAACTGCCTACTCGTTTGGTAAGCACTCAGCGCCTATTCTCTCATACTCGTTTGAATGCTTTTAGATGTCAATGCCTGATTATACCTTCTCTTGCATCAGTTATCTCGAGTGTCCCTCATGTAGTTTGACGCATTTGTTGAAATTATTGAAGCATACTAGATCAGGATATTACGGATAAATATAGAACTTATGATATTTAAACTTGTTTAAATAATTAATGCAGCCTGATGATCAGCTCATAAATTTGAAGTTCTCAGACTCCAAAATAAGATAGAATCTGAAACTTTTTGTTTCTCGTATTGACTTTATGCTTTATTCTTAAATTCTCTGTGCAATAGACAGAGTATTTGGAAATGATTCCTCCACGAGGCAAGTGTACGAGGAAGGGGCCAGAAGTGTTGCTCTTTCAGTTGTTAGCGGTATCAACTGTGAGTATCTTTTATTTTCCCTGGTTTTGTTCTCTTCATTGTGCGTAGCATTAATGTTCTGTGGTAAGATAACTCGGCTTAAATGCTTTTACAGCAAGTATATTTGCATATGGCCAAACAAGCAGCGGAAAAACATACACAATGTCCGGGATAACTGGCCATACAGTAGCCGATATATATGACTATGTTGACAAGGTTTTTTCACCTTTCCATATGTTTTTCATCTGATAATTCTGTTTGTCTGGACCTTGGTTTACTGAATTGTAAGAGATTTGATACTGTAGAACACTAGCAGAAAATTCATCTTGAAATTCTCTGCAATGGAGATTTACAATGAAGCTGTGAGGGACCTTCTCAGCTCAGATAACACTCCTTTAAGACTCCTGGATGATCCAGAGGTACACAATAAATTATAATGTAAATTTTTAATTGTGCTTTGATGTGTTGATTTTTCATTGATATTTCTGCTTCTTTCTGGCCATATAGAGAGGAACCGTGGTAGAAAAATTATCGCAGATCACATTGAAGGACAAGGATCATTTAAGAGAACTCCTATCTGTTTGCGAAGGTAAAACAGAACTCTAACTTGTCAATCTTCAAGAGTATACCCATATTTTCCTACCATGGTTCAGTTTTTAAGCTTGATGCATTGATGCAGCTCAGAGACAAATTGGAGAGACCGCTCTGAATGAAATGAGTTCCAGATCACATCAAATTCTGCGATTAGTAAGCCTTTTATCCTGAACTATTTTTGTTGTTTAGTTGTGTGAATTTCAACCTCTTAAACCTTCTGCATTGCCGATGAATTTCTGCAGACAGTTGAAAGCTCTCCTCGGGAATACAAGCGTTTTGAGAATTCAGCCACTTTAACAGCTACAGTGGTAAGCTCCATAAAAAACCTTTCAACTTTTTCCTTAAGATTGCGTATCTGCCATTCATCCATGTCTTGTAAGCACTCCTTTAATGTCTTTCGTTTGTAAATTTATATTGTCAATACTTTTCATCACACTGATCACAAATTAAATTGCTGTTATGAATTCCATTCTTTCCTTCTGTAGTGCACTGGATTTTAGATCTCAAGCATGAAAAAAGAACTTGATTGCTATGTTACATATCCATCTCAGAATTTTGTTGATCTTGCTGGAAGCGAGCGTGCCTCTCAAACTATGTCAGCTGGTACTCGTCTAAAAGAAGGTAGCCACATTAATCGTAGTTTGCTTACCCTTGGGACAGTTATACGCAAACTAAGGTATAGCTTCAACCTTTCAACCTTCACTAGATACATTCTTCATTTTTTTTTTTTTTTGGGTAAACAACACATCCTTTTTTTTTTTTTCATCATTTAAATATAGCCACTAGGAGCTGCAATAATGTAGACTGGATAGGTCATTTTCGATCTGATTTTCAAACACATTTTTTGAACAATCAACACCATGGTTTACAGATATTTGATATGGGTTTAAGTACTTATTTGTTTGTCATAATGTACGCACAGCAAAGGTAGAAATGGACATGTTCCATACAGAGACTCCAAGCTAACACGCATACTGCAGAACTCTTTAGGAGGCAATGCAAGAACAGCCATCATTTGCACCATGAGCCCGGCACATTCTCATGTAGAACAATCCCGAAACACTCTGTTGTTTGCAAGTTGTGCCAAACAGGTCAGCACAAATGCGCATGTTAATGTCATGATGTCAGAGAAGGCTTTGATAAAGCAGCTACAGAGGGAATTAGCAAGACTCGAGAATCAATTGAAGAATTTAGGATCACTTTCTATGTCAGGTGATTCTGATGCACTCAAAGAAAAGGAGCTTCTCATTCAGAAGGTGACTAACAACAACTTTCTTTCTTAATTTGAATATTCAAGCAACATTCCAAGACTCATGTTTTCTTGGCCGTTCGAAGATTCTGTTATTGACATTACATCATGTATATTTTCTTCTTGCAGATGGATAGAGAGATTAGAGAGTTAACGCAGCAACGTGATCAAGCTCATTTCCGTCTTCAGAATTTGGTGCCTCCAGCTGGAGAATATCAACGTTCAAAACATTGGGTATTTGAAAGTATTTCGATTAATCACAAACTTGTGCTCAACCTCAGGGCATTTCTTAATGAATCTTGTTCTTTCTTGATCATGTTAAGGATGAGCAAAGCAGCATTTCAGAGTCCCATGAGAAACTTGCTTGGTTCGGTGAATATGCTGCTTCAGAAACATCAGAGATCATTGATCCTCTTCGCTTCGATGCTGGATCTATCGCATCTTATTTTTCTGACAGAAGTGAAGGCCTAAATCTGAACAAACGTGATGAACAGATTCCTGAGCCATCAGAAGAACAATTTCTCTCCGATGATACCTCCCCAAGATTGTTTATTGAGAAATACTTTGGACCAGATCCGACAAAAGGTTGGGAAAAGACAGCGCAAGGAGTTGACATGAGTACTGAAGATACTTGCAAGGAAGTCCAATGCATTGAAATAGTCACAACCACGAATAAGGCAAGCCTGGACTCGGGGCCATTTCAAGGAAATGACAATCTTCAGCATCAAGAGATGGATCACATTCACCATGATAAAGAAACTTTGGACCCAGCAATTGAAGAAAAACAAAAAACCATGGAATGTGTTGTTAATGGTTCTGAACACCCTGAACCATCCCCCTGTTCATCAGACTCAGAGTCACCTGACCCAAATGTAGTTGATCTTTCGAGGAGCAGAAGTTCTGGAGCAGTCCTTACTACAACCCCACCATCTCGCACTCCTGAGATGGAAAAGGAAGATGACACGCGGTTCATTGGAGTGAAGGACTCTATCAAAAGTCATGTGGCCAGTGAGCCAGAACTCTCTAAGCTGGAAGAACCAGCTCTAGATGGCAAAAATTGTCAGGAAGATAATCTGAAGGAGTCGCTTGATATGGTCGAATCCACAGATGGTAAACAACAGATCATCATGTCATTGGGACTTCACGATAAGAAAATCAAATCCGAGAAGCAGTTCAGGGATATCGTCAACTCCACAGATGGTAAACAACAAATCATCATGTCATTGGGACTGGATGATAAGATGGTCAAGCCTGAGAAGCAGTTCACGAACAACCTTGTGAGTACCTTCCTCACTAGCAAAACTGTAATGTTAGGTTTAAATGAATTGGAAGCTTATAATGGTATTACATCTTGCTAGGTCCAGGAGGCTGAATCAATATTAACCCCCACCAAAATGGAGAAAGATTTTACACAAGTCCCCAGTGGAGAGAATGATCTTCAGAAATCCCCTTCCAACTGGCCAATGGAATTTGAGAAGCAAAGGGCAGAAATAATACAACTTTGGGATGCTTGCAACATTGCATTAGTCCACAGGAGCTACTTCTATCTTGTCTTTAAGGGTGACCCCTCGGATGCCATATACATGGAGGTGGAGCTAAGACGGTTGTCATATCTCAAGGATTCACGAGGGACTAATATTGCAAGGTAATTGTTTTTCATTTTCTCCTTTTCAGTTCACGATAATTAATGAATCTCATGTGCATTCCGGTGAAGTTTTCCTTTCTTAGTTTGTACTTTTCAAACTGGCTCTATCACTGATCATGGGAAAAAATATCAACCAAACAGCATGAAGGTACTCAAACGAGAAAGAGAGATGCTGAGCAAGTTGATGCTTAAGAAGTTCTCAGCAAAGGAAAGAGAAGCCCTATTCCTGAAATACGGCATTGGACTAAAAACAAAGAGAAGACGACTTCAATTGTGCAGGAAACTATGGACAGACACAAAAGACATGGAACACATCAAAGAGAGCGCGGCCCTAGTCGCGAAACTTGTCGGGTATGTGGAGGAGCTGAGCCAGGTCCCAAAGGAGGTTGTTGGACTCACCTTCTCAACCCCTCAAGTGAACATCAGGTCCTTCAGCTGGAAAAACAGCATGCCGTCCCTCATATAACTGGAGGCAGTGCAGTATATATACATATACTACTACTACATCCAGGTAGATGAAAATAAGATAATCCACAGAATCCAAAGGAATAAAACTATGTATCTTAGAGATCCTAGACAAAAACTCAAAGCTTTGTGAATAAGCTTAAGATCTAAAAGGATTTTTTGGTTCATGTTCAATTACCCCCCATTGATGTATAGAATCCATATAGATTCTTGCCTTTTGAAGTGGCATTTTGCTTTGCACATTTGCCATATCCAAGTTTTGGGTATTCATATTGACCTCATTTGGCCAAATTGTAATAATATCTCACAGGAAACATGTGTCTAATAGGAATTTTTTTTTTTTTTTTTGAAAAGGTCTAATTGGGAATTTTATGAGCAATGTTTGATGAACAAATGATATAAATCTTAAATTTCGGAAAATCACAATGGAACAATATATAATGCATGGACTAATTCACTAAAAAGAATTTTGCTATGAGCCATTTGATTACAGCGACTACATAATGTATTTGGATTAATTTCTGACGAAGCATGGATTTGCACCGACGTCTCCGGTTGCTGAACCAGCGGCCATGGCAATATCGAATCCCTAAAACCTGCAAAAGAGGGCCTCGGAGTCTCCCGAGGGTAGACACTCCGATGCTTAAGTCAGTAAGAGTATTTGTAAGAGATGTATGAAGTTGGGGTGCATAGACCGTACCTTTGATATGAGGGGTTGATCCCTATTTATAAAACTAGGTTATGAAACCCTTTCTTGGTAGGAAAGTAATTAGGAATCGACCTAGAAACTTCCGGAGGCCAGTTGAACCTTTTACCGAACTTGGGCCGGCCTAGTTGCGGGCCGTACTAATTTGGACTCGTCAAGTGCCCCTTATCAAGCCTATACTTCGAAGACTGAAGATAGGGTAAGCTTGATAATATGAAGTATAAAGTTTCCTCAAGTTCGGGAAGAACTGACTTGAATCGAGGACCTGCGAAAGGTTAACATCGAGGAGCAATTAAAACAATGAAAGAATTAGCGCGTACATTTCTCAATGTACATGTCACTTATAATGACTGACATCGAAGTCTAAGGAAGACAAAGTCACTAGTCAAGACTTTTAATGGAGAAAGTATCATGTGATGATCTTCACAATCTGCACTAGAAAAATATCGAGGCGAATGCCCCGCTCCTTAAGAGGATTATAGAAGAAGAAGTAGTGGAGATTCCTACTATTTCATATATAATGGTGTGTTGTCAATAACCGGCAGAACAAGAGAACTGCTCGAAGACTATAATGCGCACTTCTGATCGAGAAGCATTCCAAATCCCGAGAATAATAAATGAGAAGCGATATCAAATAATCTCATGAATAAAGGCAAGAGATATGCCTATATGAAGTTGAACACATGAGTCTCGAGGACTTTGAGAAGATAAGCTCGAGAAGGAAACTTCTGTCAATACTATGTTGAGTATCAAGAGAGAGGATGTAATAAGACTGTGATTATTGATATTTGTTCATCAAAGACATAAGTTCGAGAAGAAACATAAGCTGGACCTGTATGCCAATAACTTAGCCCAGTATAATCTGTTGTCGAGAAGGAAACGTAGTGGAGATTCCCACTAGTCTCAAAATATACGCCATTAGCAGCGACTAAGGTATATTTACTGTCGAGATGATGACTTGACTAGAGAACTGTGACATATGCTTCTGAACGAGAGGTAAAAAGTCTGAACCCTCGAGAGTAACCACAGGGTAGTGGGTCGAGAAGCATTATGAATGAAGACAGAATACCCGATGTCGAGGAAATAAGTCTGAAAGAGTAGTCTGGGTTTGAGTCAGTACGTCGAGAACTTGCCCCAGAACAATCCGAAGACTCGAGAAGACCATCTCGAGCCTAGTAGAGCATTTAGAGAGTCGAGACTGTCACCATATGAATCCTTGATTTTTCGAGGAGGGACAGAAGAAAGTAGAAGACACCGTAGAAGATGCTGTGTGATTACGTGAATGCTGGGATAGTGAGATTCGAGAAGATTCTCTCGAGTAGGACTCCACACCAATCCCAAGAATTGCGACTTATCTGACCTTGAAAAAGGTATACAAGCATTTAAACTTATTTATATCCGCCCAACCGACCCGCTTGCCATTTCTCATGCCCCGAAAAATAAAGCATGGTACCCTTAGTCCAGGTTTGAGAAGTGTAAGCCAGGTTAATGTGTCGAACCCGAGTAGGTGTATAATATCATTGCTCGAGACTTGAGCAAGAATCGAGGAGGTATTACGCGTTGGTGTGAGAAGAAATAATGCCCCAGTCCTAGCATTAATCGGAGACCGTTGAGAAAAGGCATAGGAAGAGATCCGTAGACTAAGATCATCTCGAAAAATTCAAAAACACAACCTCCCAAGCACCTCCAAAATACCTTAGAAACCTTACATACTTACAATCTCTCATATATAAGCGCTCCTCGTTATAGATAACCCCGGAGTCATTACTCATCTCGGAGCCCCCAAGTCTTGGGGTAGCATTTGGCAGACCGAGACTTTAGATGATAGTGTAATTCCCGTTGCTCAGTTCGAGGAGGTGCCTGATCAAGAAGCCCCTATACTCGTAAGGTTAAGGCAATAAAATGGTGTCTATCAGAAGGGGATAGATGGTAACCACCATAATCGAGGAAGTAGGCCTGTGTTGACAAGGCGCAAAGTAAACTCGAGGATATCGAGATTAAAGCCATTTGCATTGGATGATATAGTTGATCGATCCAATAGAGCATACTCGAGAACAAGTCTAGTTCTCATTGAGGCGTAAAACACGTGTTTAGTTCCAAGGGATAGTCCACCCATTGTTCATGAACATGAAAATTTAGGCCTTTCTCAATGTCGGATGTCAAGTACACGGCTCATGAGTTATTTGTAAAGCGTTTATAATGGCGGGATGTTAAGTACACGGCTCTTTTGCAGGCGATCCTGAAGAGGATACCTTTGCATAGACGATTCTGAAGAGAATGCCTTTTTAAGACGATCCTGAAGAGGATATCCTCGAGGAAGCTGGGTACGAGCTCCTCGAATTTAGACTGTTAGTCGTAACAGTTAAGGGTAGCATGACCCAATGAATGTCCGGATGGTGAATACACGGCACTTTCGACGACGGTCCTGAAGAGGATATCCGTCCCGAGAACGGTCCTGAAGAGGATGTCCATTAAAATGACTAGTCATGTTTAACTGGGTGTAACTGGGTATATGTGATACGCCAGCCCCCACGAGTACTCGAGTGGGCTACCACTATGTGCATTAGACCAATGGTCTATATCCCGGGTTTAAAGTATGAACACTCTAAGGTTAGAGCGATGTTGCTGCTATCCTTGAGGGATCAGCTGTAAGAGTTACATATCTCTGCTTATTTTGCCCCAGAGTTCTTGGGGTATGTTTATCCTGCAACTTAGTCCGAGACATGTATTGCAAATATAAAAATGATATGTCAGCTGAAAGATAGTGTGTACCTTCATCTAATAAGGTCATAAAGGCTCTCGGAGCTTGATAATATATACATTGGCCCCTCGATCGAGGATGCGCAGGTGAAGGGATCATTCGAGTGTACCTTAGGTTCGAGGAAGTATTCCCCTAAACTCTTCGATAATAACTATCGAGGACACATTAATCTGATGGTGATGCTTCTCGAGTATAGACACCATGATCAACCAACCTGGTCTCTGATCCTGACAGAACACCTACTCATGCACTTGTAGATTTATTAGTGAATAATAAATTACCATGGTACGAGAAATGACATAGAATGCAATATATTATCGGGGGACTCTATCCCCTTCAAAAGCAGCCATTTTGAGATATAAAATGTGAGAAGTGGAAAGATTTCACCTCGATACGAGCAAGACTGTTGAAGCCACGGTTTGGTTAACTCACGACAACTATGAAAGAATGATGCGGAGATAGTGCAATGCTTCTCCACGGATTTGTACTTACGACGTACCCCTGAAGAGTCATAGCGATTTGGCATGGAACTGGGCCATCAGATGTGAAAGGCCTTGCAGCCCCGAGACGGAAACTGCCAGTTAGTTGTTTGGTAGAGTAGATACGATGACCTATTGTGGCATGTGGCTCTAGGGGACCATCCTGTGCTACGGCCTTTAGAGAACATTACCGACAACTATAAATACGAGAGGGGTATCTACCCCCTTTTAAAACAAAGGAAATGAAATTGACTTATTGTGTTTAAGATAGGTCGAAAAATTTACATCGTGGGGAGTAAATAGATCCATATATTTGTAAAAGCAGTGGCATCATGCTTTATGACTAATATGCGATGATGTGAGCAGTCATGCATATGAGAAAGACTTTTCGTGCAAAAGGTCTGCATGCAAAAGTTTCTAGGACTCGGTAGAGGCTCACGAAACACATATGTCTAATGTGTCATGTAGAAACAATTATTCAATGAACTATCGTAACACTCAGATTGTAACACAAATGTTCATATATTTAGGCAATAATGTCATAAGGATAACGTATCACTTATCTCGTGGCCCTCTTCCAGGGGTATCCGCAAGTCAAAGTAGCAATACCCAGTTGTCAAGGAGCTCCTCGTTGTTGCCAATGGAGCTCGTTCGTGACATGTACCATGTATTGGTCCTTTATTGACTGAGGCTACTATGGCCTATATCATGGAGGGGCTATCTCCGTTCTTGATTTTCTGCAAGTTCTGCAAAAATATGAAGAAGTTCTCCCAAAACTCGAGCATGCTTTTACGATAGAAGGCCCTGCATAATTATTTCCAAGATCATACAGTAACAGCTTTTCGAGAAAGATAGAGGCAATCGACATAATGTGCTACGGTTAGATTTTAGGTCATCAATAGCAATTAAACTCCACTCGAGAAAGCAAAGATATCACGGCTCTATGAAGAACATGTATGATGAACAGATTAATGATTATATGATTTATGTGATTTGAGACATTAAATTAATCATACATGCACATTGAAGTTAGAGTCAATAGAATGATGTCAGTGAAACTCAATAAGTATCGACTGAGTGGAATAGCACAAAAACATGCATGTATGATGTTTTCAAATAATTCATGTGATATACTATTTATTCACGGAGATGGTATCCAAAGAACATGTTAATGCCAAGGAGATAATAATACTTATCTTCCTTTTCGAGCAGGTCATTGCCTCTCGGAACTTTTCGAGCAGGTCATTGCCTCTCGGAATGGGTTGCTTTGTGACTCGAGAAGGATGCTCCTTGAATTGTCTTATTGTAAGACCTACAAAACCAAGTAGTACAACTGCGCCACTCTCGGGCAGGTTTTTGTAACTGTATATATTTTGTTAGATAACCTCATGGGAGGCACTGTGTAACTTAAAGAGCATAGGTAAGTTTAGAGCTACTTATCTCCTTTCAAATCAGTCGAGGAGATTGCCTCCACTCTTGTCATGGGGCTAATCTGTGTGATCACGACTTTATGTGCCCTCGGTCCCTCGAAAAGTCGAGCTATGCTTGCATAGCTGTTCACTTCGAACAAAACATTAGTTGTTCTAATAATAAAGTAGTTGGACCCTTGGTGAGCATACCAAATTTGTGTATGGCTTAGAGTGAAACAAACAAGTGGAGTTTACTTTCATATAGAAATATGGCAAGTAGTATCATGCCATGCAATTTGTAAGTGTTATTGAAATATTTTTCAAGGACCTTTATGTTTGCTATGATGGCAAAGATGTATTGATTCATACAAGACCCAACCAGAAAAAACACAATCAATCTTGCTGCTACTACAATATTGTAATAATAACAGGCTCAAGGAGGCATAGTAGTTATGCATAATGATGCTTGAGACTCAAGTTTTTAATCCCAAAACTGAACAAGTTTGACATGCAATGAGGTACGAAAGTAGCTTAACAGTAATAGTTGGTTATGATGACTTAGCTGTCATTAGAGCCTTTGTCTCGTGTAATTATGTAGAGGGGAGTATTTCAGCTTGTGCTGCCGAAAACAAACGAGGAGCTTCGTCTCGAATCTCGAGGAAGTTGTGCGCTCCTCCGAGGAGATGTGACCTTTGAGATATCGGGTCGTTTCTTGCCTGACGGGAGGCTTCGTAGTCCTCGCTGGCTTATTTGCTTCTCGAGCTTGTCTGGTTTGAGGAGGCTGTGTAGCCTCTCAAACCAAAGTTGACGGGCAGTAATTTCCTTAGTCAATCATAAACCCAAAAGATTTATTGTAAAAATCATAGATTAGCAGAATAAAGTAATGATGCTCATATATGAAATTAAGAAACTTATGTCAATAGGTGCAATATGTAAATAAGATCCTCGGGTAACCACAATCCACGGCACAGAATCAAAGGAATCCACAAGAGGCAATAAAACAGTGGCATGAATTTACCATGACACCACTATCATGTAACTAGATCACAATGTTTACAGAGTATGCGAAGTCTAAGACCGTACATGTCGCTTAGTGAAAACTCAGTCTTTCTCGATTTATTGTGATCCATAATCTGGGTAAACTGAAGTCATGGGGTCGAGATTCATACCCATACATGTATAATTAACACATCATTATATTCTTAAACATACTAGTTCGAGCATGCCTATAGACAAAACTAATATTAACATTAGATCAGAAGACGAAACTTGAGTGATTCATTCATAAATGGCATGTCTCATAAATGGCAAGCAACCAATCAAACAATAAGATTCTCGAAGTCAAACCTGGACCTTATTTAGGTGTAGTTATAAGTGTATGGTCATTGTTCTCGTAGTAAATCCCTGGAATTATATCAAAATAGGGAAAACATAAAACATGTAACCGTGTATGGGCCGGGTTTGAGTAAAACTTCATGAGATGATCTCCGCCTTCCGTCGTCAACCATCGGAAGGAGACGTTCCTTCCGTCGTCAACCATCGGAAGGAGACGTTTGTATCCAATCTCCCCCCTCTTTGTAAAAATCTTTGTCGAAGGGAAGATTTTTAATATAACATGTTAGTGAGCAAATCATATAATATGTAGGGCATATACAAAGGCCTAGCAGAGTGATTTTGCGTGCCTATGGAAATTAAACCGAGTTTCTCCAAAGGGATTATTGTAAAAGTTTCTGATGGGTGACATGTTAATTGAATGTATCAATCTCATAACAAAAGTTAAATCATGCCTTATATGGTGGGTACCAAATTGGCGCAGGGCAGTGAGCAACTTTATTAACATGCATTAGTTTTACCACTAATTAAGTACGAAGTCCACCCGTCTCTTGTGTATCCCCATCAAATAAAAATTAAGTACACTTTACATTCCATGGCTTTCACGAATTGGCATAAAAAATAAATATGGCAGGCTTGCATGTTCACCGGAAGAAGCATGGATATTGAGATTCATGTTAATTGAAAAATTAAAACCTGGACGCGTGATTCGGTGGACATATGATGGACGCTTGCTGCCTTCAGTTATCAACAATTTGATCGAGGAGCAAATCAAATTGTGTTAAGACGCCAGAGCTGTCAACTCCTTCTTCGTCAGGAAATTGTTTGACGGAACAAAACCCTAACGGGTCCCACTGGGCGTGTCACTTGACGAAGCATGGATTTGCACCGGCGTCTCCGGTTGCTGAATCGGCGGCCATGACAATATCGAATCCCTAAAACCTGCAAAAGAGGGCCTCGGAGTCTCCCGAGGGTAGACACTCCGATGCTTAAGTCAGTAAGAGTATTTGTAAGAGATGTATGAAGTTGGGGTGCATAGACCGTACCTTTGATATGAGGGGTTGATCCCTATTTATAGAACTAGGTTATGAAACCCTTTCTTGGTAGGAAAGTAATTAGGAATCGACCTAGAAACTTCCGGAGGCCAGTTGGACCTTTTACCGAATTTGGGCCGGCCTAGTTGCGGGCCGTACTAATTTGGACTCGTCAATTTCTATTGAAACTCTGGCTGGTATCCTAGTTGATTTTAGTAAATGCACATTATGGATGGTCGAATGTCGAAGGCATAACACTCTAAATGACAAATTTGATCCATGAAAAAGTCGAGAATTGGTTGAGTTAGCCGTAGATTACTGTTATTAACCTCTTTCCTTATTGACTTTGTATGAGCTCAGAAAACAGCTATTTTGCAAAACCAACAAAAACAGCTCTCAGCACCCTCTGAAAACTTTTCTTTTTTTTTTTCCGTATAATTTTTATTTTTTCGGGAAAAGTCGTTCCTCTAATATAAGATGTCATATTAAGTTATTAACTTCATACTCTAACTCCTTTGTCATTTGTTTTTTGGATGAAAGTTGTGTTTTCATTCCAAGATCAAAAGGGTTTAGTACATCACTCATTTACATATCAAAATTCCAACAATGGAATACATCTATGTAAGAATCTTGTCCTAATGTGGAATACAAATAGGCAAGAAATACAAGATGAGCCATCAAACAAACAATGGTGAAATCTTCATCCTTCTGCACCAAGTTCTATTCCTCAGGGTGTCTTTCATTTTCTTAATTGTGGAGAGCTTCATTTTCAAAGAAAAGATGATGTTTTCATAATTTCATGTTCTGATAAAGGTTGGGCTCTGAAGATTGCACTGTTCCTTGCTTCCCAAATGTGATAAACAGAAGATGCAAGTATTCCTCTGGTAATGCCATCCCTAGCAGAACTCGGAAATAATCCAACAACTCTGCTTTGATGGAGTCAGGATCCGTTAATCTATTCCCATTTGGATCATACAAGGTGTTGATAGATCCCATGGCCGTCTTGTTTTTTATGCACGCATGAAAGTAGGAGGTATTTAGGTCCCCATCTAAGCTCCATTTAACTCTAGCTCTTTGTTTGAGAAACAACATTTCATTCTTGATGAGCTTGTTCAGTACGGTTAAGGCTGGTGATTCGATTGCTAGGAGTTCTGTATCTATGGGTGATATAAACAGATCTTTTTGAATTTCATGTTGCCAGTTCCTGGTCTCCTTGATTCGTCCCGCCAGAGATCTTGTCATCTTGGAAAATTTTTCTTTGAAAGCATGCTTGAGCAATTTGATGTTTCTCTGGAGACCAAATAGATTATCAGGAGGTCCAATAGATTGCCACACAGAAGTCACAATATAGAGGAAGTCCTCTTCTGAAGTCCAGAAATTGCAAAATCTGAATGGAGGATGAAATACCTTATGAGGCAGAATTTCCACAACACCGGGGGAATGATCAGAGACTCCTGGGGGCTGAAAATAAGCATGAGATTGCACCTTATTCATCCAAAAACTAGCCATTATTCTGTCCAGTTTGGAGCATATTCTTGGACCATTTTGCCTTTTATCCGACCAGGTGAAGAAACATCCATTATAGGGAATATCTGTAACATGTTGAGAAGACATAAACGTCTGGAGTTCCATTGTGTCTCTACTAGTAACAGATCTGCCATTCATTCGCTCAGCAGTAGAGGCAATACAATTGAAGTCACCCAGTAGGATCCATTCCGACGAGATTGAGGAGGCCAAGCATTCCAGATTCTTCCACAACTCCACACGGTCATTCATGGAGTTATGTGCATAAATAAAAGTGGCAAAAAACTGATAACAACCCAATGACAGCTTGCAATGATGAATTGATCACTCTTCTGGATAACCTGCAGGTTCACCTTACTTGTATTCCACATAACAAGAATCCTACTATGCAATGACAATTCAAAATTATGCACAAAATGCCACATAGGCTTACTACAACATCTACTTGTAACCGAGTCAATATTGTCCACATGGACTTTAGTTTCAAGGACAGCAATAATATCTAAGTAGTTAGTACCAATAAAAAGAACTAATTTCAAATTGTTTTTTGGGATCATTAAGACCCCTAATGTTCCAGCTAGCTATCTTCATATTTGAAAGATAAAAGAAAGAATTAAGTTCGGGAGGTACCTCCCTTTCCTTTTGCCTTTCTGAAAGTCCTCTGTCCTTTGGTGATGGCAACTGCTGTTGTTGCAAGCTGAGAAATCTCTACCAGGTCCGCATCATTTGCAGCATCATCATGGGTAGTATTTTTGGGGGGTAAATTATTTTTCATTTCATCACCTTCTGCTGACCTGCTCAATGGCTGAGGGTGTGAAGTGGCCTCTCTGTCTTCGCTCAATGACGTGCCTTCTCTTTTGCTCAATGAGGTATCACCATACTCAAGTACTTTGCTGAGAGATGTGCCTATAATCTCAACACTAGTCCTAGAGGGTGACTTTGTATTCTGGATGTTGTTGGATGATGAGCCAATTTGGTCCTCCTGTTTACTAGTGCTTCCATTGGCCAAAGGGTCTGATGCCATCACTAATTTATTATCTTCATTTGTTGGTTGCTTAGGACTCCACTGTTTCCTTGGCTTGCTTTTGCAGTGCTCCGAGGAATGACCAAAACAAATACAATGAGTGCATTTTGCTGGAACCCATTCATACTCCAATTTTTGTTCAATTCTAATACCTCCAGGTCCCTTAAGTGTGACTGTATCAGGCAGCTCTGTTTGTGGATCAATTTCAACACAAATGCGTGCATACTCAATCTTCCCTGTTTAGCAGTAATACCATCAGTACAAATTGATTTTCCAACGACACTAGCAATCTTACCCAAAATTGATTGAGACCATAAGTGCAATTTGAGCAAGGGAAGTTTGATCCAAATTGGGAATTTTGTTATCTTGTTTGGATCAATGACCATTTCCGGCGTCCATGGCTGAAGGTGTAGAAAATATTGTACATAATTAGAATGTAAATTATAGTTATTGTATAGAAAAAGGACTTGTCTGTAAATAATGGTATAGGTAGTTAGTTTTTCAGTTTTGCCCAGTATTTAAGAGTCGTATTACTCTTATTGTAAAGATATAGAACATTCCCGAATCTGAATACATGATCCGAAATTTCACAAATATGAAAACCTCAATTCCACCATTGTAGATGGTATCAGAGCAGGTCTTGATCCTGCTTTGTGCCTCTGCTGGTGTTTAGATCCTCAAAATCGAACTCAGCTTCAACCGTTTTTGATTCCGAAAACCGAAACCCTAGCAGATCTGAACCAAAAACCTCGAAGTTTTGTTTACTGGTGAAGACGGCGGTTAATCGCGAACGCAAGCGCCGAGAGGAATTCCGGCGAGAAGATGGAGAGCCTATTAACTACGGTGGAAGCTACAATCATCCGTTGGTTCTACATCCATCAGATAATTCATCTATGGTAATCGTTTCTTCCAAGCTTACTAAAATCAATTACATTTCTTGGAGTCATGCAATTAAGCGTTTCTTAGGAACGAAAAACAAGTTAGGGTTCATAAATGGTTCGTTTCCGAAACCAGAGGTTACAGACTTATCTTATGAACAGTGGATTCGTGTGAATGATACAGTAGTTTCTTGGATATTGAATTCTTTGTCTGCTGAAATAGTTGATGATTTTGTTTTGGCTGATACTGCGTTTGAATTATGGGAAGAAATTAAAGGAAGATATGGGACTAGTAATGGTCCTCAAATTTATCGGCTTAGAAGGGAGGTAGCTACAATTGCACAGGGTAATATGACTTTAGCAGCATATTACTCTAAACTGAAACGTCTGTGGGATGAACTGAACCATGTGGATCCAGTTGATGTATGCACTTGTAATGGATGTACATGTAGACTCAATAGAAATGGAGGTAGGGAAAATCGTCACAAGTTGATGCAGTTTCTGAGTGACTTGAACGATTCCTACACTGCAATAAGGGATCAAATCTTGATAATGGACCCGCTGCCAGAAGTCAAGAAGGCCTATTCGATGGTGCTCAATGTGGAAAAGCAGCAAATCGTCAACAAGATGTATGTGGATCCAGTAGAACAAAGTGCAATGCTTGTGCAAAAGCCTGGTTTTAAGTCTGCAAGCTATGGGAATGGAAACAAGGAAAATTACAGGAATTCAACTGGAGGAACAAATAATTCTGGCAGAAAGGATGGTATTGGATTTACAGGGAAGGAAAACAATTTTAGATTGGAAAAGGCTCTGAAAAAGCTTCAACGGTGTGATAATTGTGGGATGACAGGACACCTGAGAACAGGGTGTTTCAAGATCATTGGATACCCTGATTGGTGGGAAGGCAATAAGGATAGTAAAATGAAGAGTTATCAGAATTCTAGCTCAGCAAATATGGTGACAGGAGAAGATTCTCTATCTTCCAGTTCTCATGGTCCTGGTCCAGAGGAACTATCTGCTATGATGAAGAACATGCAACTTATGCAACAAGAGATGGCTAAGCTACTCAAAGGGAAACAACCATTGACGAATGACTCAGATCACAACATCAATTTCGCTCACTACCATGATTTTGCAGGTATGAGTTACTATAAAGCTCTTAGTGCATTAATTTTAGATGAGAGTAAGTTGAGGTCTCTATGGTTTCTAGATACTGGAGCTTCAGGTTCCATGAGTCCTTATCTTAAACTGTTTCATAGTTATAAGCCTGTTAGCAAATACACTCCTGTCACCTTACCTGATGGAAGCATCAAAACCGTAGACAATATAGGATCAGTACATCTATCAGAAACCTTGAAAATAAACAACTGTCTTCATATACCAGCCTTCAAATACAATTTGTTATCAGTAAACAAATTGGCTCAATCCTCACACATTGATTGTTTCTTTTCCACTACTTTCTGCCTGTTACAGGACCAACTGACTAAACAGGTGATAGCAGTTGGCAGAGTCCTGAACAGCCTATACATACTAGACACCACTTCTTTTCATCCTGCCAACATTCAAGAATTCTTGAAGACACATGTCACTCATCCTTTCCAGATTCAGCCAACCACATCCAGTACTCATCACCTCAACATGGTCACCACCAACACAAGTGATCTCTGGCATCTTAGACTAGGTCACATTCCTGATTTAGTTTTAAGTAAACTAGGGGATCACTTCTCAGAATCATGTAAAACATCGATTTTGTGATGTTTGTCCAGTAGCCAAACAGCAAAGAATAAAGTTTCCTCCTAGAACTATTTTTTCAGTTCAAGCTTTTGAATTAGTACATGTTGATATTTGGGGACCGTATAAGCATCCCACTTATACTGGTGCCTCGTATTTCCTTACACTTGTAGATGAGATGTACTTGGACATACCTCATGAATAATAAAGCCCAGTCTCTTTCCATATTGTCCAATTTCTTTAATATGGTACATACTCAGTTTGATGTTAAGGTGAAAACTCTCAGATCAGATAATGGATATGAATTTCTTAGCCAATCCTGCCAAAATCTGCTGACTTCTCATGGTATTGTTCATCAGAAATCTGCTCCGTATACACCACAACAAAATGGTGTTGTGGAGCGGAAACATAAACATCTTCTACAAATAGCTAGAGCCCTTTTGTTCCATTCCTCTCTTCCACAGAAATTCTGGGGAGACTCTGTGTTAACAGCAACATACTTAATCAATAGACTGCCTTCTTCCATTCTGAATTGGAAAAGCCCCTATGAATTGCTATATCGAAAACCACCAACCTTGGATCATCTTAAAACCTTTGGATGTCTGTGTTTTGCTACGAACATCCTTCCTCAGAAAGACAAATTTTCACCAAGAGCCATAAAAGCCATCTTTCTTGGATACCCGTTTGGCCAGAAAGCGTACAAACTATATGATCTAAATTCCCATAAAACATTTATTTCCCGGGATGTAGTTTTCCATGAAACTATTTTTCCGTATTCCGACATTGTCTCAGATAACACGCTTCCTCCTACCTCTTCACCTGATAATAATGATGTTTTTGATCATCCAATTTTGATACCACCAGCATCAGGCACTGAATATGACATATTGGACCCTGACACTACACACTCTCATTCCTCACCAGATTCCATCCCTGTTTCTCTTCCCTCTCAGAATTCTTCTCCCGTTCCTAATATTAGAAAGAGTACCAGAGTCAAACAAAACCCCAAATGGATGGATGATTTTGATGTTCATAAAGTCCATTTGGTTCAGGATTCATTTCTACCCTCCACTTCACTGCGAACCAGTTCAAAATACACACCACAAACATATCCCTTCATCCCTGTTCCAGGTTTCTCTCCACCCTATATATCCTTTTTAGCTCAGATCGATAGAGTCATAGAACCAAAAACTTACTCTCAAGCTAAAAATCATCCAGCCTGGGTAGCAGCAATGCAAACTGAACTGGATGCACTAATGAGAAACAAAACTTGGACTTTAACCACCTTGCCACCTGGAAAACAAGCTATAGGATGTAAATGGGTATTCAAAGTGAAACATAACTCGGATGGGTCAGTTGAAAGGTATAAAGCTAGACTGGTTGCAAAAGGATACAACCAAACTGAGGGAGAAGACTATTATGATAGCTTCTCGCCTGTGGCAAAGGCTGTTACTGTTCGCCTTTTGCTTGCTGTTGCTGCGTCAAAACACTGGATTCTTCACCAGTTAGATGTCAATAATGCTTTTTTGCATGGATTCCTGGAGGAAGAAGTATATATGCTACCTCCTGAGGGATATCCAGCATCAGCAGGACAAGTCTGTAAATTGCAAAGATCATTATACGGTTTGAAACAAGCTTCCCGACAGTGGAACTTGGAATTTACCTCAAAAATGAAGGTTTTTGGGTTTCACTCAGTCGTTACATGATTCTTGTCTGTTTACTGGCACTATACTTGAGTCTTTTGTAGCCTTGGTTGTCTATGTGGATGATATTTTGGTGGCAGGAGAAAGTCTAGTAGCCGTTAATTCGGTCAAGCAATTTTTACATGATCAGTTTACTATCAAAGACTTGGGGCCAACAAGGTATTTCTTAGGTATTGAAATTGCAAGAGCTGCAACAGGGCTTTATTTGAATCAAAGAAAGTACGTTCTCGACATTCTTAAAACCACAGGGATGTTGGGATGCAAACCAGCCACGACACCCTTACCAAAGGGTCATCAATTCTCAGATAAACCTGGTGACCCTGTTTCTGATCCCTCTTTGTATCGCAGAATTGTTGGACAGTTGCTTTATTTGGGGTTCACCAGACCGGATCTCACTTATGCTGTCCAGCAGCTCAGTACTCATGTTCACAATCCCTGCAATGATCATTGGCATGCTCTTCAGCATGTTCTTAGGTATCTGAAACATTCTCCTTCTTTGGGGTTGTTTTATTCTGCACACAATACTTTCCAAGTTGAAGCCTACAGTGATGCCGACTGGGGTTCCAATCCAGTCCACAGGAAGTCAATTACTGGCTTCTGTGTCTTTCTTGGAAGTTCCTTGATTTCATGGAAAACCAAGCAGCAGTATACAGTGTCTTTATCATCCTCTGAAGCTGAGTACCAGAGTCTTAGTCACACCACCAAGGAGCTTTTATGGTTGTCTTACCTCCTGCATGATTTTGGTATCTCAGTTCCTACTCCTATTCCTTTGTGGTGTGATAGTCAATCTGCCATCTATCACTGAAAATCCGGTTTTCCACGAACGTACCAAACACCTTGAGCTTGATTGCCACTTTGTGAGACACCATTATGATCAAGGTTTTTTGGTTCCTCTCTTTCTTCCTTCCAAGGAGCAGCTGGCCGATCTTCTGACTAAGTCTCTTGCACATCCCTTATTTCTTAGTCTGTTGTCCAAGCTTGGCATGCAAGACTTCTTCCATGCTACAGCTTGCGGGGGGGATGTAGAAAATATTGTACATAATTAGAATGTAAATTGTAGTTATTGTATAGAAAAAGGACTTGTCTG